TAATAACCCTTGTTGTAACTCAATAGAATGCTCGTATATTTTCAGCTTCACCTCATCGATATCGATTCGTAGTCCCTATGGTCGTACTAGCCGACATTAAAGGCAAAATATACAGGCTCACTACACACTACACGATTACGGTGAGTACACTACTACCTTCTATATATCAATTTTTGTCCGGTTACGAAGAAACGGACATGTTGCATGTTTCTCGCCATGGCCGCGCGCCTCTCGTTGGACTGTGTTTCATACTTGGTGACGCATCGTTTTGGGAGAATCAACATTTCGAGCGAATCGGCGTTTTGAGCGAATCGGTATTATGAGCGAAAAGGATTGTGTAGGTATCGATTAGCGCCCAAAACGCCGATTTGCTCAAAACGCTGATTCTCCCAGAACGCAAAACGCCGAGTCGCGAAGTATGGACGGTCTTATACAAACATTGACCGCGTGGTCGCGGAGAGGATGATGTGAGAGTTGTGTTCTGGATTTATATTCAAAAAATATTGCGTTTTTCGTGACGTGCTGTAAGAATAAATGAACACATACAATTTTTTTCCAGAACGATGAGCCTACTCTCGATTTTAAACCACTAACCATTAGATTCAACGGGCAGTTATTGTGGGAAAGATCTGCCAACCTTTCACAAAAGATTGATCTCGATACGGTGAGTAAAAGTTTATTATTCAAATTTGATATTTGAGGTGATAAATAGCTTTACAGATAACAAGTTGTTCGACCGGTCAAGGAACGTTCACAGGGCACAGTCCGATAAACGTTGAGAAGAAAGGCCAGAACAAGTGAAAAAGCTGCTATTAGTCAGCTCACGTGCTCTAATCTGTTATTTGTGAATGAAGATTATTACCGGTTCGATTACTAACATACGTCTTGTGTTGATATTTTTCGAGATAGATAATAAAAGAATGCGAATAAAGCGACAAATAGACACAACATCCCAACAGTTATTCGAACCAATCAGTCCTTTGTTTGGCACTGAGTATCACAGACACGCGGTCCTGTACGTTACCAGTTACGGTCGAGACAATAGTAATCTGTCGCGTCGTCGTGCACGGCGCATTGTGCGGCGATGGGCGCGGCGGCCCGAGTGATATGTTCCACAATGACAAGAAAACTAACATCCCTATCTTATGATCTTTCCTGTTCAAGCACTTTAGAGAGGTCAGAAAACGTTGCAGTGGAACCTCGGACATGCCGCTGCGACTATCCATTGGCCGCGCGCGGCAGGCGACATAGCGGGCCACGCCCACCTGCGCGGCGAGCCATGATTGTTGTCGCATGTCCCATGCGCGGCCTGTGGGATTGCCGGTACATGATTCGAAGATCCCTAGTATCTATCCGGTACAAGTATCCTTGAAGGACTAGTGCTCTGACCTGATCTGAGCATTGGAAACTCATCCTGCGATTGATAGTCTTGAG